AATATCTTTTGTTTAGTGTACATTGCTTTAAAAAAAAAAGTACAGTCTAAAAATATTGATTGCACATAAATACCAGGATTCTTGTTTTAAAACAAGTTAGCAGTGACATATCTAGATTCAAACTTCTACACGTCAACTACTGACTGCAGCCGACACTTCTTACTTTCCTTTCAGATGCAGGGCATGCCTTTACCAGTCTTCACCTACCCGATGAATTCACTATTAATGAAAAGAAAAGGTTATGGGCCATTTAGAAATCAGTTTAAAATAGGAATCAAATATTCCTGATGTTCCTAAATTTCACAGGTAAATTAAGAAAAACAAGTTAGCAACATTGCACATCCGCCCCATTCCCACTGATGTTACATATTTGGCTTTTTTGTATTGTTAGGTTTACTTGGTAAGATGCAGGACAAAATTTAAAGTCCTGGCCAGTTACATGATTCAGTTTCTCTGCACATAAGTCAGATAAGCCTTCGTTGCTAAAATGTCTAAAATGTCTAAAGAGTTAAAGTTTAGTCGCCTCTCTATGCTAGACCTTCCACTGGCCCCGCCAGACCCATCCATTCTCCACCCACCTCTGGCCTTGCAAAACGACTTTTATGGACCACGTCTGGATTCCGGTTGCGTTCAGCCAATGGAGGGACCCAGCTGGAGCGGGAGAGAGTGAGGTCAGGGTGTTGACACCCTGACTCTACCATTGCAGGGATGGCACAGGCGGGCTGTGCTCCTCCTCAAATGAAGGGATCCTGTCCCTGGGCTCCACAGTGAAAGAACAGCTGCTCCCTCCCCTGGCCTTTGAGGGTACAAAAGGCTCCTGACAGATACCCTCCACCATTGTAATTTCGGCTACAGTTTTCTCAAATTATTCTAATTTTATTTCCTGCTGCAACCTGACTGAGCTACCTCCCTAGTCCCACTCCTCTAACTGAACAGTAACCCAACGCACAAAAAAAATATCTTTGTTAAGAGTCATTTTCTAGAATTTGAATATCATATTTGGGAAGATTTTGCAACAATTTAAAATTTTGCCTTTAAGTCACTAAGAATTTTAGAAATTACATATTCATCTACCTTTAAACTTGAATTAATGTTTTTACACATTTAACTAAAAAATGTGATGTTTAGCCTTCAAAATTAAGAAATGATGTTTTCTCTAAAATTACATATATTTAATCCTAAAAATATCCTCATTTTGTATTATGAGCCTCCCACTGGTATTCTGGCACATCGGTGCCATCTGCTGGAACGTTAATACAATCAGGTCTTCCAAATCCCCAAATGTATGTTTTCTGGGGGAGGAAGTATAGGGGTAAACATACTCTTTATTTAAGAAATAAGCCTTACTTTTAAAAACACAGCTGCTTAAGTGCCAGATCATTATGAATGTAAAGCCCAATTAGTTACAAAGCACTAAAATAAAGTCTAAAACTTACAATTTTAAAAAACACTAAACATTCCTTTCTATACGTCTCTGGGTTTCTAAAACGTTCTCCTGTGGTTCTGTTCTGTTAGTACAAAGCTCGACATGCCTCAACCTGTCTCAACATTACCTGCTTTTACCCAAATCTCTGATATTTATATGTAAAAGATGTTACATATATGTTTACATATAATCTATAACATATATTTAAGTTAAATATATACATATCTATTTTTAAGTCTATGACAAAGTTTTAGTTGTGAACTAAGTAGACAGATGCAGGATTGCACATCTTTCTGCGGTGCTTTCACCATCACTGGATAGCAATTAAAACCAGACATAAACATGACACAACGGTTAAATTCTTATATGTGAAAGTTGCAACAAATATTCTAAATGATAATATAGAAACATAAAAGATTGCTTAACTGATTTTAATAACATGACATAAAGCCCCTAGACTTGACATTCTCATTATGCAAAATACA